ATTTGAAATTAATTAAAATTTAATATAATTTTTAAATATTAAAAAATTAATAAAAAAAACCGAATATCTTTTTTCCCCAACTTGAAGTTTATATGTGTCTAAAATCGAATTGAGTATCTAAATGAAAAAAAAATGAAAAATGATGTATGTACACTTGAATCTAACGTCTAGATGTGCACCCATCATATAAACAAAAAAAAAAGTCAATCACCCAGTTTATTTTTTTTTTTTATGTGGGAGGTGCATATCCAAATATTAGATCCGATTGTACACCGATCATTCTAAAAAAAATAAAAAAGGGGGTTTGTTAGTGAGTGTGGGGATGAAGCCCACGTGTGGATGCACATGCAAGTAGTAGTGTTCCACGTGTGTGTCTTGTTTAATACGACTACTAAAATGGATCTCCCACTCCCTCCACCATCTCTGCATTTGCTCCGACAAGGCGACAACACCAGATCTCCGACCACCATACTGTCCTCCCCCAAGCGAGGGACGCACATGATAATGGTCCGCACACGACAATATATTACATATTCCCAGTTACATTATTGGGCAAAAAATTAGACTACTTGTTAAATAAGAGTTGGGATTAAGCGAACTACAGCCAAACACACGTGTGGTAACATGTGAATATCAAAGCTTGGATCTTATAAAAAAAAATATCAATCTCCAATCATTTGCTTTCGAGTTTCATTCCAAATTTCACTCCCCAAAGGGAAGGCCAGCGAGCGTGCTTGTTTAACAAGAGATCATATTATTAATGAGAGATAGATTTTATAATATTAAAATAATTTTTTTATTAATAATTATAAAATATGTAATTAATACATAATGAATGATAAAACAATTATCAAATGTTTTACAACTTCTTGTGTTTCTTATTAATTTTAATTTTTACATTGATTATATAGCAACAAATAAATATGTATTAATTGTACCTGGCCCTTGCGACCTAGTGACAATAACCACCTCGGTGCATTCTTCCTCTTCAGACTGGGTTCGAAACCCGTCCCTTGCAAATATGTTCAAAAAAAATAATAATAAATATGTATTAATTAAAATATGTAAATTTT